TTAGATTTCGGGCTTTTGTCGGTGCCTTTGTTCTCTGAGATTGGGTGTTTCTTTTGCTCCACATTCATTCATTGCTACATTGCCACTACTAAATGATTTGGTCCTTGACACTTTCTTGATACAAATATTTTGTTAATATCCAGCTTCAATCTGGTTTGTGTTTTCCTTAACATTGTCCTTTAGTATCCTTTACTACTTTACAATCCTAGTCTCATAGGCACAATCTGTACCACATATGAAGGGAAAAAGTACCATCTGGTGGTTGTGATACTGCGAAACAAAAAAGATTATGTTTAGTTACCAATAGAGTTTACAAACATTCTTTATAAGCTAGCTAAAATAAGTAACTATTAGTTTCAGGTTGAAAAACATAATCGGAAGATTATGATCTTATTTTAATATTGCAAGATTAATTTTAATAAAATAAGTACATGCAAATTTTGTTTTCTTGCACATAAATGTACCTGTGCACTCAACACCATTAGTAATATGGATAGAACACAGAGGCAATGACCGAACCAATATTTTGCTTTTTTTTTGGGGGAGGGGGGGGGGCAATACATAAACATATTATAAGCTGATGCTCATCATAAATTTTTAAATTATAAATTTAGAATAAGAATAAATATTAAAATATTTAATTAACTATACTTTTTTTTGTTTTATTTTGTATATTGATATAGTGTTTCTTAAGTTATTATTTTAAAGTTATAATAATCATATGTAATGAAGGAATGATTTGGATAGCAAGTGCTTAATGAAAGACTCGTTAGGAGGGATCTCAAATGTGAATTTAAAAAAAATATATATTAATTTGTAAGCATCTAAATGCAAGGGGTAAATATAATTGTGATTGTGTATAATCATATGGTAAGTTAAGTATAATTTAAGTTGTTAACTAATACTTACTTGGCACCATCTAGAAAAACTCTTAGAAGTAATACTGACTAGTAATGCTATAAAAATGTTAAAGTGAAAACTGAAATGTATGCTAATATAAGGAAACTAAGACTTAAATTGCTATATATAGGATATTTTTTACAAAGAAAACTTAAAGTAGACTGTATAGTTAGTATTTATGAGTAGTATATACCAAACACAAATACTAATTATATACTAAGATTAGTTTTATAATAAGTTTGTATCTTATGCTAATACTTTTTTTAATCCTCCTATCCTTCCTTACATCCTTCCCACCCCTAACTATTAGGCACAAGATTTGAATCCTAAAATCGGCACCAAGAAAATCTTTTGCTAATATAAGAAAACTAAGAGTTGATTTTAACCAGTGACATTTAAATAGACTCTCTAGTTGATATCTAAATGTGATAATGATAAACATGTTGGTGATTTAAAAATTAGGACTTCATATACAAGTTTAAAAAAATTTCAGGGGCCTTTATAGATTTTTTAAGAAGTTTGAGGACGGCTGCTCAAGCCCGCACTCCTTAATTTCGTCCCTGCACAGAGGGCATGGTAAAAAACGCGGCAGCATGCCAGATAGTTAGTCTGTAATTTCTGTCATAGCGTTGGAATCTTTGACAAATTGAGGCATGGTTTTCTTTCTTTCTTTTTGTTTTTTGTTTTTTGTTTTTTTGGGTTAGGTCATAAATTTTCCGAACCTTTTACCTGTTGTACGGGTAATAAATAAATCACCAGTGAATGGAATATTACTACTGTTTCTTCAGACCTATAATCTAGGAATCTCAAGTTGAAACTTGAAAGTCGAAACCGTTTGCTTGCAGGAACTTTTAGGCCCCTGTTTGGACAGCAGTTTTTTAAAGAAAAAATTTTACGTTTTTTGTAGACATATTTTCCTATCATTTTTTTACAATATATATCAAATCATTACAGTAATTTTTTACAAAAAAATCTAGAAAAATACAATCCAAACAAAACCTTAGCATTCGAGGAATTAATGCAATTTAAAATGGCAAGTTGATCTAAAAACAATGGCCATTGCAAAGCGTGCTCATTTTTTCCGAGACTTCTTAACGTTCTACGGTGGAGAACAGAACACCGAAGCGACAGAGTACAGACAGATGAGGCACAGAAAATGTAACTATTGGTGCACGTTTTTTGGTCAACATATTTATGTTCTCTTCCCAATTCCATTAACGTTCCAGCTTCAGGTTAAGCCTTGTTTAATGTTTATTAGCATTAAATAATGAGTTGCTCTGCAAATCTTGAATCGCAAATTGTCAATTAGTTACCGTCCATCTTTAATAATCTCTCCTTCTCACAAGGCCCTGAGTTTCGCATCATGCATCATTTACCGGTGTCTGCTACCTCGTGTTCTTTTCTGCTCAACTATAAATCATAACCAACGACCTCAAATCCTAATCATCACTCTCAAACTTCTCAAGTTTGACTAGTTTTTCGGTGTTTTCTATGCAAGAATGGCATCTAGCAGTCCATCTTGCAGCTTTAACTCCAACTCCACTTGGACCAAAGAGCAAAATAAGGTGTTTGAAACAGCTCTCGCAATATATGACAAGGATACTCCGGATCGTTGGCACAATGTAGCAAAGGCCGTAGGTGGGAAAACTGTGGAGGAGGTAAAGATGCAGTACCAGCTTCTTGTGAATGATGTTGCACTCATTGAAGCGGATAAATTTCCCCTTCCTCCATACAAGAGCAGTCCCTCCAGAAATGCGTCATGAAGCGTTTACAGGCATGGTAAATATTCTTATCTAGCAAGTAGCCATTTCAGAGATGCAGACATTATATATGGACGGTTCAGAAGTAGCTTTTCTCATGTATCCCTCCATCTCTCAGAATTTTGCTTTCCTGCGTTCTGTGCGTTAATCTGAATATTTTCCAAATCTTCCTATTTGGGCACAAGATATGAACACTGCATCTTGTGGTGGAAGAGAAAAGATTAAGCCATGCAGATTACATATGATAGTGCTAACTGGTATTAATTACTAAAAATGCTTTGCCTCAACTGCTATAATGTAAGTGATGATAATGAACTACAACAGCCCGAGATTAAGTTCACAAATCTCTGAACTAGTTTTCCCAGATCAATTTTCAGGCAGTCGGAAGAATGCATCTAATCGTGATAGCTGGGGAATGCAGGTGTTCTTGATGATAAACACTTTTCTCTAGGTAAAGATTATAAATTCATAAGCAATCATCAAATAAAGCAGCAATGATTTGTTTGACGAGTAAGAATCATAAGCCGTGAAATCAGCATTCAAGCAAAAAGAGAATGTTTTGATGGTCTCTCTTGATCGATATTACTTCTACCACCAATGTTTTATCACTTTGTTTGGAGCCCGGTGGATGTGTGAATCATCAAGACTAGGATGTGTATGAACATCATCAATGGGAAAGCACGTGATAATCCATCTCTAACAAGAATTGGAGTTCCACTGAGGAACCGGAATCCATAATTCAGCTGTGTGAAAATTTCAACTCTAGACCAAACAAATCTCACTTTTCAAATTTCAAGTAGTTGTAAATCAATTGGAAGTGATAATAGCTAAAAAGGAATTGATGATCCAGTCACATCACATCATAGATGACCAACATACTCAAAACATTCAAATTGGATGATCCACCAAAAAGTTCCGGATAATATGTAAACTATAAGGTTTCCAATCAGTAACATGAATCAGAAAATTATGGGCTCAAAACTAGCTAGCACTACTAACAAAAAATTGTTAACGTCTGAACTTTCTGGGCTTCAAGCCCCATCCTTTGAACCCTGCTGAGGAGTGGCAGAATTTGCAACATCCTTTTGGATCGAAGTCATGCCTCCAAATTTATCAACCATCTGTGATAAAACAAATTATCAGAATCAACATGCTTTTGACGAATTCAAGAAGATCTCTCAAACAAGCAAGGATTTTCTGTAAGAAAACGGAATTAAGATACCTTCTGAATAGTCATCTTGAAACAAACTTTGTGGTTTTCCATGGGGGTACTGACAAACTCGTTGAAGTAATCCTTAACATTGGTCACAAAGCTACCACCGTTTTCACACTTCATCCTCGGGCACGTAGTCACGGCAGGACCAGTTGCTGCAGCAGCAACTTCGGTTTGGCCTTTTGCAGCGTCCATTATCCTTATTAAATTAATCAGGCCTTACTGATCTGCAGAATTACGAATTACAAATAGAACACGATGAATGCATGAACAATTTTGAAGGCTTAAAAGCTCCAACTAAAAATTGTATTTTTTTCCAAGAAATCTCCGAAGACGTTGGTCAATCTACTTTGTTATCTAACAAGTACTCCTATAGAACGGTACTAGATCGATATAGAATTTAGTACTAGGCTGAAAATCATAAAAATAATATGCATGGAGACGGCAAGGCTTAGTGAATATTATTACCTGATGAGACAAGAAGATTGCTATGGAGGAAGAGATGCAGACTTGAGCAGAGATTCTTGAAGAGGCGAGGAAGATGCAGTAGCAGGGGTCGGATGGATACTGTGCTCAGGTATACTTGTGTTAATATACAGTTTTGGCTGACTTGTTTTATAAGAAAGGTGTCGAAATTAAGATAAAATCTTGGAAAGGAAGTTAGTGGCTTGTGCCGTGGGCGAGGGGTAGGGCGGGTAACGGGTAATCGGGTCTGGGGAAAAGCACACGACCAAGTCATGAAAATTTTTGCTAGTACCCTCCTCCAGATTTGTGAAATTACCCCCTTGTGCACCCTCGAAAATAGATTTTAGCTTTTGGAATGGTAATTTTTTTATTTGTAGGGTTGGATTTCGGCCGGCCGGCCGTCCCTTTTACTATGTTGGCTCCTTTTGAGATTAGGTCCTAAATTCAAGAACAATTTCTGTTCTTTTTTTCTATTCCAAACTATTTTACCAAATATTATAATTAGATATATTTGGGTATTACCAAATCCCTTCTTTATTTTTCGGCTTTTCAAGTATGAACGCCCCTACTTTGTTGGCTGTCTAACTAAAAATTTCCGACTTAAACAGCCATATATTTGAGAAAAAACCGATTCATTTAGGATTAATCAGACTTTGCCCCTTTAAATCCCTAGTCGGACCGTTGGATTGGTCGAGCCCCAACCACAAGCAGGAGGAGGAAAAGCCCAACAGAGAACATTTAAAAAAAAAAAAAAAAAAAAAGGACCGTGTGGTGTACAAAGGGAAAATGGAACAAGTTGGCGGCCTTTCGGCTCACACAGAGCTTATCTCTCACAAGTGCCCGTGGAGAGAGATGGCCCCAAGGAATGCGTCATTTAAGGTTAGCTAATCTTAATCTTATTGTGCCAGTCGAAAGTTCGAAATACGGTCGGAGTTAGTCTCAGATTACACGCTTTTTTTTTTTTTTTTTTTGGGCCAAAAATCTTTTGCTATTTTTGTTTACTACATGCATAATCGTACACTAACGTATGTAACCTCGTACTACTTACTTCCAAACGATGCAAGAAGATAATCCTGGGTTCGTCTTCGGTGGCTCGTCGACAAATTCTATCTGAGATGGGTTTCGAATTTACAGTCATGGTACATTTGGTACTAGTACTATTTTAACCATATGATGATTATTTTGAGGGAGGTTGTTATGTTGGACAGACTTCTACTCGTATTATATTCTCTTGAAAACATGAAAAAGGTCTAGATCCTGCTACGATGATTTAAGCTTTATCGGCTTATAATGGTGCTAAATTACACATGTTAATTTTGCACCGGCACATACACAGTTTAGTCAATAAAAATTTGTTACTCTTTATCATTCCGATGGAAGCAGTAAACTCATTGATGGTTTTGAGAGGTTTAGACTTTAGACTGCAGATATAGATGAGAAAAGCGTAAGGAAAGAAAAGCCAGAGGACCTGGTGATGGCTCTAGCTGAGGCGAAGGTATGGATGCATACAGTGCTTCGTTAGACCACCCATTAATTTTTTTACATCGGCCAATTTTCTATGAGTAATGTTCCAGCTAAATGCTTGTTCTCAGCGTTATTTCCCTCTCACACTCTGTGGATTTCAATTTTGCTTGCTTTGTGTTGTTTTATGATACAACCCAATACTCCGAAGAACCATAGCTAGTTGAGATGTGAGGTTTGCATTCTTTTACAGAGGGAATTGGAAAGTCTTAATGCTAAAGGAAAATGCAGAGGTCTTTCAAGTAATTTTTCCAAGATTCGTCCAGCTTTTCATGACAAGGGTGTATGTTGTTTTTCTTTTCAATCCCTTTGGACTCCATCTGATTCTAATTGTGGAATAGTGGTCCCTAATGATCTAGTAGTTTTTACGTCTGAGAATTGCTTATTCAACTCTCCTTCTGGTGGAAACTGTGTGAAGGTTATGTATTAGTTTCTTTTTCCCTTGCTCACATCTCTGAAATGGATCAGTTTCTATGAACAAGGTTCTCCTACTTAATGTCTGAGCTCGTTGCTGGCTACAATCTTAAAGCTTCTGGTTTGAGATCTGAATTTCTGTCCATTTCTTCTGTAGGCGGATGCTATAATATCGAGGCTGAAGAATACCAGTTATCTGGGGGAAAATGAACAGCCTGTGCTGTTAATAACTGCAGACACAGTATGTTTCTTTATTCAGATACTACTAAAAACTATTCATTTCCTGCTTCTTTTGTTTTCCAGATGACTGTGAGGTAATGTTTTGTGATTTGGTCCGAGCAAAAATAGAACTGTGTACCAGTCCTAAAGTACTGAGATATCAGAAAAGATTGAAAATATCCGGAATGAGTGTTAGCAAATTCATTCTTTGTACAAGTCTTCTAGTAGCACGGAATTTTATGCTTTCCAAAAATTGTTTTAGGATGCACAAAATCAAGTATCATGAAAGTTAGCCATAGACTTTTTTGTAACAAAACCACAGAACAGGATATTGTCTACCAGTACAAGTGCAGCAACTAAAAATGCAGTAAGATTGTCTCAGTTGTCGTTGTTTGCAACAAAAAAGTTCTCTTTCAGCTAGTCTTACAAGCTAAAATGAAAATCAAGCATCATGGATTGAAGCTATGAGAGCTGGCATTGAAATGACAAAATCATGTTTGCTATGTATGAAAATAGCTTATCTTTGTATATCTCTTTCATGTTACTCCATGCCACTATGCCTTTTCCTGGAATTTTAGATGTATGGCACTCACCTTATATTTCTTAAATTATGTGTCACAGGCCATGTTCTCCCTGTTTTCTTATGTATTAAAGTTAACTTGACATCAAGAGCAATAGTATAAAATTGCTAGGCTCTAGTTGTTTCTTTGCTTTGAAGCTAGATTATTAGAGCTTTTGTCTTACCCAGATCTAATTGGTATTGAGGTAGCGGTGTTTGAAGGGACTGTCAGAGAAAAACCTTCTAGCAAGGAAGAGGCTCGCAAATATCTCCGAGGTCTGCTTAATACAGTTTCTTGTCAGTTATGTTTAGTTTCTGGCACATCTAGACATGCCTACTACTGCTATTTCTTGCAGACTATTCCAGAGGTCATACTTCAGTTTTGGGTTCCGTTGTTGTATCCAACCTAACATCAGGTAACAGAAAGGGAGGATGGGATAGAGCAGAGGTACTGCCATCTCCTCTCAACTGGATTCCCAAATAGATAAGAGATAACAATTTGAAAGGATTGGGACACATGCATACAACTCCCCAGTTTTGGCATGTGCATGAATGACTACGTCCAATTCTTACACAAAAGTCGGCTTCTATAAACGCTTTTGGATACCTTAGTGATCAGTGTTGAATCATAAAACTAAGGCATATATTGACCTTCGTACTGTTTATGTGATGGATGGTCAATTATGAGTTTTCTCCACTCATAGGAACATGTTCATTTATTTGACTGCAAAAAAACATGACACTACCTCATCTTGGCAGCAATTTGAGTTATTTGTTAGAAGGTTTTCCCGATTCTTTTTCTCCTTGGGGCTTTTATGAGGATAGGAGAGGTGGACTGGAATCTGTTTATTTCTGCTTAGGTGATTTGAGAGGTTCATGTTCCACATTAATCTTGTAACTGCAAGTCCCCTTTCATTCCATTCATTTTGGTGTGCAGTGAAGAGTACCAAGTTTTACATCTAAAAGCATTCTGATTTCTGTTCAGTGGTGAAAATAGCATCATGATGGGGATCAACTTCGACCATTCCTTGAAGCTAGACCTCAGAAGTACTTGAAGTCAATATATTCCATATTATGAGTAAAAACCTGAAAGTGACTTGAATGGCTAAATGGACTTGAAATTTGCAAGCATACATTAACGCATGTTGTTCATTGGATGTCATGATGCTAATCTTTGATGAGGTTTAGTTGAGGATGTGACCCCAGAATTACTAAGATGCTTGGAAGAACAGTACTTAATTCTTGTCAATGTTTTTTTTTCAGGTTTATTTCCACGAGATACCAGATGACGTTATAGATAACCTGGTAAGAAATGATCTTTACCTGAATGCTAATTACCCCTAATTGTCCTTTTAAGTTTTACAAATCTTCCTCAGATTGAGGAGGGGATAATACTCAATGTTTCTGGAGCCTTGATGCTTGAACACCCATTGACACTGCCCTTTGTTGACACAGTGGTTAGTATCTGTCTCATATTCATCTTCGTTTCGTGAATTTGAATATCATTTTTTTTGGGCACATTTGTTATTTCAAACAGCATTTTCCCTGACCTAAAGGGTTGACACTCCTTGAAACGTTCCAGTAACCAAACAAATCTTGGCCCCCCGGAATTATTAAACAATCAACCTTCGCAGTTATGAGTAGATGTATTAAGAGCATAATAGTTTTTCAGACAAAATGATAAAGTCAGCCTCGTAGCTGAATTTTTTTTTTTTTTTTTTGGCTGAGTTAATCTCCTCGATGACTTGATTGGGTGAATATTGAGCATGATGTTAAAGTCTCTTGTTAACATAGATCCCATTTTTGTCAGATAGGCACTGCTGATCATGTCATGGGGCTTTCAAAAGCTCTCACAGAAAAGTTGATTCAGGAAGCCCTGTAGCTGCTCTAGTTTTCCAACTCTTACTGAATCTGCAGCTTCTATTGGAATGTACTGATGCAGTCACACTCACGCCACCACGAGAGCTGACCATTAGGTGCTTCTAAAAGGCCGTATCCTCATAGTCCTGCTTGTCTTTCCAGATATATTTAGGCTCGACAGAGTTTTTCCATTTTGTATCTTGATTCAAAATGAATGTTCTAAGAAAACCATTATCTTGATTGCTAGATTGTTACCATCTGCTATCACCTTTATAGCTGAGTTCTATAAGATGAAGAACTACTAATTAATGCAAGTGACTTCCTTCCAAATGTCATTGTCGTTTTCACTTCTGCTTATTTTACCTCATAAGAGGAGAGACCTGCCCAAAATACACGCGGTAGGGTCATAAAATTTCTTGCCACAATTCATTGCCTAGAATCATAACAATTCAACCAGAAAAGTTACAGTAGAAGGATTTCAAAAGCAACTGTGTGTTTGGATAGAGTATTATTCGAAATATTACTTGGAATAATTACTGTAGCACTTTTTGTGAAGTGATGCATGTGAAATAAAAAAGGCGATTGAAAAATGTGTTTATGATAATTGATACAAGTGAAATATTATATGAAATAATTCAGCAATCCAAACACACACACACACACACACACATATATATATAATGCAATCACTTTTCACCCGTATAACTGATCTTTTTGATGAATTTTTAAGAAGTAACGCGTAAAGCTATTCAAATACTTTTTTTTTGTCAATTAAATGAATGTCACTCCTTGTTCTAATTCTAATAGTTCCAAAGAAACCACTTTAGATGCAATTGGATGTGGTCAAATAATTTCTTTTTTTCCCCCTATCATCAGAAATTGTTGAGCATCAAATTTATGTTTTTTGGATTATTTTTTCAATGCATTGATTATGGACCAGTAAAGTAGCGTTTATTCTTTTAACAAGGATGAATTTTTCAATGGAAGTTATTACACCATAACAAAACCTTGAACTAGAGATTCCAATGATTGTGCAAGATACTCCCTCCGTTCCTTATTAGATGTCCTAATTAGATGTCCTAATCCATTGTTTCTTTTTATCTGTCATTTTATGATATCAAGAAAGCATTTATGAACTTTTTTCCAAATTTACCCTTGCTTACCCTTTCAACTTTCTTGAATTGGAACTCTAAATAATTAAATGCAGTATTTGTAGCATTAACAATAAAAGTAGTTGAAGAGATGAAGAGAGATAAAGGGTAATTTTGAGAAGTAAAGTTAAACTTTTGTTGACTTTTAGAAAATAACCAACTTTCTTAATATAAGAGAATTAGTTATTCAGGCCATCTAATAAGGAACGGAGGGAGTATCTAATTAAAGTATGCTTTTCAGTCAGTTAATGCACTAAAATATTTCTCTACTCTACAGAAAGGTCCCTTATAACAAATTCATTAACCAAAAAAAAAAACAGAGAGAGAGAGAGAGCAGTTAGTCCACCACATCCATCCTTCAGGAAAAAAAAAAGTTTAAAACAAAACCCACCCAATTATCAAAACCCGCCCAAAAAACTTTCCAGTCCTGGCAGCCTTCCCAAAACAGCTCAAGCCCACAAGCCCGCTCCGCTCCAACCCATCGGCTCCCCCTGCCGCGATACCTTCTTTTTGCTCGAGGAAGCATCAGTCGCCCTTTGGCTTCGCTGCCACCCGCTTGCTGTTCTTTTAGAGGAGACAAGATAGACCTAGAGATTGGTACGGGATTAGTTTCTTACTGTTTTTGGCGTATATTTATTCCATTAATTTTATCCAATAGATTTCACTTGCCAATGTTATTGGGATGTGCTTGGATGATCGTCTTTGTCTTTTGATTAATCTTGGTAAAACATAGCTAATCTTTAGTATGGTTTTCAGTTAAAATGGGCTTGTCGGGGCATTCGGCTGCATTTATCATTTGTGCGTAGTAGATGTTTGACGATATGCCAAAGAGGAATGTATAGTTATCTATTCGAGAGCTCAGTAGTAGCTAGTGAAAAGTGTTTATTCATTAAGTTGGCAAGTAAAAGAACTGCATTGGGGTTTTATCCTGGTTTTGCAGCTACTTTGATCAACTGCATTGGGGTTTTTTTTTTTTTTTTTTTATGAATCCCTATTAGCTTCTCAAAATATAGTAGAGCATTGTGATTTGCCTATTTGCTTTCTTTGTTGTCTTGTTAGGGGTTGTATAATTAAGATAATTGGGTTTATTCTCATTTGTACCCTAACTTTTTCCTGCCTGTACTCTTGTTAGTGCAAACTAGCTGCCTGACTTGGTTTGAATTGATCTACCCACCCTTTTGGTGCATCGTTATTTGGTTTTTTGTCGTGCATTTCTTGTTGTTCCCATCATATGACGAATTTTGCTGGATTTGAGATTTTAAGTTTATCACAAAATTAAGTTAAAAGCAGATGTTAATGCCCATGAATTGTTGTCACTTCGTGACTGCTTCTGGTTTTTGCTCTCTTGATGCTTATCTGTTGTTGCTGAGGCTGAATCTTTTAGCCTTTTTGTCATCCTTTTCCTTGTGGCTTTCTTTACTCTAATGCTCTGGATGTGTGTTTGCAACATTGAAGCTTTTTTCTTTTTGCTAAAAAAGCTACACAAAAATGAGCTCAAAGGCATATCTATTTCATCTTAAATGTTTTGAACATGATTGTGAGGTCAAAATATGGCTACAACACCATGTTCCAAAACTTAAAAGAGTTCTTCAGAAAACATTTTGCTGAAGAAGAAAGAAAACTCGCATATGCATGTGCTTCTCTTCTGTTGGTTATCAAGTCAAACAGTGTAGCACAGATATGATTTGCCCTCTTGACCTTTGGCTACTCTTGTTTTGTGGTCCGGTCAGTTGTTGCAAATGGAAGCCAAGTTCTTTCGCTTTCTCAAGATTGTGGGAGTTGGTTTCAAAGCCAGAGCTGAATCGGAAGGTCGCCTCTTGTATCTAAAACTGGGTTACAGCCATGAGGTAGAACTGACTGTGCCTCCAGCAGTTCGGGTATTTTGCTTCAAAAACAATGTAGTATGCTGCACGGGGATCGACAAGCAAAGGGTTCATCAATTTGCTGCTGCTGTCCGTAGCTGTAAGCCGCCAGAAGTTTACAAAGGCAAAGGTATCATGTACCTGGATGAAGTGATAAAGAAGAAGCAAGGAAAGACGTCCAAAAAATAGTTGGATAGGTGATTGAATAGGACATGGAATGTTTTGCTCTTCATAAAGTAGCACGCTTGACTAGATTAAAACCATAGAGATTCAGTTTGATACCTGCTGTTCTGTTAGTCCATTCCTCCTCTGTTTTGAATATGAAGTAAGCCATTTGAGATGATGTCGTGAATGAGCAATAGTGATGCTCGCCATCTTTGTAATGTTTTGGTTATTGAGATGCAGATACGTGCCTCCTTGAGACCGCTGCGGCTCTGAAGCTTTCGATGCGTGTATAATTCCCAATTTACCCTTTTTTAGTTGTTGGATTCGGAGCAGATACAAAATGTGATTGGCAATTGCTTCTTTTTCGTGTTTTTGACCCCCATCATCACAAGATACTCAGTCTACTAGTACAAAATATAAGAAGAGGGAAAAAAACTTCCATTCCGTTTTATTGCAGGTTCATCCCTTGACGAAAACTTTTTGTTAGCCTTAGATGTTTCCTTTCCTCTAGAATCATATATATATATATATATATATATATATATATACACGACAAGCATAAACCAACCTAGCTCGGTGGGGGTGGGAAGCAAGGGTTCAAACCTTGGCTTCCATAAAAAATATTACATTTAAGTGGTTTGCTTAAAAAAAATTCAGGCGGATGTGTTGTACACGTGTTTGGTTCGATGGTGGTTCAGTCCTCTTCGAGTTATTTCTGGACCTCCTTAGGTTCGCTCCCTCCTTCTTAGTGTAAAATGGATTAGGTTATATAATTATTGTTGTCTCAAAAAAAAAAAAAAAAAAAGACAAGCATAAACCCCTGTTGCCAGTCCTACTTGCTCACTGCTAAACTGCTAATTAAATTAACACCCTTATGAGCTGTGACTGGCCTTTGAAAGTTAATGAACAAGAACTGAATCAATTTGTCCCAAAAAAAAAAAACCAGTAATAATAAAGGAATTAAGGAAGAGAATTGATTAATCAGTAGTGGTGAAGTATTATTCTTCAACAGAAAACAGACAAGAGGGTTGATAGTGTGTTTTCCTGGTGTCAAAAAAAAAAAAAGTGTGTTTTTCTCCGGAGAGAGAAAGAGGAAGAAAGAGAGAAAGAAGAAAGATGACATTGGGGCTGATAAATGCAAATCCGGTGGTGCACGCCAAGAAAAAAAGAGTGGCCCGCCCCCTCGACGATCCTCACGCCGACGACGCCGTGGATCCTCTCGAGATTTACGATATCCTTAATCCCCCTTACCCCCCCCCCCAATCACAAAAAAAAAAAAAAAAATCGTCTTGGGTTGCTTTTCTCTTCAATTGTTCTTACTCTTGTTTTGAATCATATCAGTTAAAAAGAAAGTTTTTTTGTCTTTGAGTTTCACTGCTAAGTGCTAAGCTGCAGAGGAGATGTGATTAATTATAATTAGTCCTAGTTCTTCAACTTGCTTAGCACCAAAATAATATTACTACTGCCATCTCAAAAGCCCTTTGTTTCATTATTATGTTGGGTGTTAAAATCAGAGTTGTTGCTGTGATCTTTGACTTGGCAAGTTTGGATTACATTACGTGAGAGATATAAGGGATCCGGAGCATCCGTATTCACTAGAGCAGCTCAGCGTTCTGTCTGAGGAGTCCATCACTGTTGATGAGAAGCTTGGCCGGATTTTGTGAGCGCCCCCTCCCCCCCTCTTTTCCTCCATTTCACCTGTTTTCATTTATTATTGTTATATTTGTATTGTGGCTTCCATTCAATGAATGAGAAAAAAGAAGTATTATTAATTTCAGATAGTACAGAGTTAATAAAGCTTGTAACTTTCATCAAAAGTTCAGGGGGAATGTGAAGCTCAACTCTATTCATTCTCCAAACAAGTCTTATAGCTTTATTACCAGCATTGTTCCTCAATTCATTTCCAGAGCTTGCTGCTTTCATAAGATTGATGTGCGGGATTTTAGTTATTTTCCTTATTGGAGAAGTGGGTGGGAGAGTTTGGGGGATGTGGTTATTGTAGTCACTGTCTCTAGTACATCTCATCTCACTCAGTGGTTATTGTAGTGGTCAAGGACTCAATCGAGGCATGATACATGCCAGGATGAGGAGTCCTGCGTTAAGCATCTTAAAAATTGTTGTCATTGCTAGTATTTAGTTAGTCATCCTGTGTTTGAGTTTCCTGGATAGCTGATATGTTCCTACTGACAAGGTTCAGTGCTTCGTTGTGATGGAGCAAGAATGATCAACCAGTTAATGCCAATTTATCAGAATAATAACCACTCGAAAGAGAACAAGAATCACTACCACATATTATTTGAGTACCTGACTTTACTAATCTTTCTTCCTGTCAAATACATCTGTCCCGATTATACCCCCCATTGATGTGGGAAAAGCGACCATTTTAGTATTAGTATCTTGCTCTCTTTTAAATTCCTGTCGTGCCTCATCCCACAAACAAAAAGCCCGGAAGAACATGTTGTTTAGGGATTTTCTCTATTAGTGCTGACTTCTTTCGTTCATTTGTAGGATAACCTTCACGCCTACCATTCAGCACTGCAGCATGGCAACTGTAATTGGTCTGTGCCTGAGAGAGAAACTGAAGGATTGTTTCCCTGCACATTTTAAGGTTGACTTCTCCACCTCTATACTCATCGGCACTTTTCGATTTTGTTTCTGGACAAAGTTTCTGGCTTCTTTCAATGCAGTTTTTACTTGCATATTTTCCTTGTAATTATATGTTGAGATACATTTGGATAATTTATCATTGCAACTAACTAACTAACTGTTTAGTACGTCTTTGAGATTCATGAATCTAACTTAAAGTTTTGCAGGTCGATATAAAAGTGGCTCCTGGATCTCATGCTGATGAAGAAGCAGGTTAACTAAGAAAACCGCAAATATTCATTTCCATCATTGAGAATGCTTGTTCTTTTTCATATCCCAATATTGACCAATGATTTGAAATATTCAAAAGAGGTGTGTGTTAAACGTTACCTGGGTTTGGTAAGCTTGTGTATTTGGAACTCATTAGCTCTGGGTCTTTTGCCTAAGTTAGTTCCTGTTTTTTGAATTTAATCAAGGATTAGATGTTATCCATACTACAACTAGTAGGGGAAAAGGTTGCTTTTTGAAAGTGCTTTTGTTTGTTCTATTGAACCTTCAAGCTGCTGGTCTCTCTCTCTCTCTCTCTCAATTTTCATTAATTTGGTTTCTTTACTGGATCCCCATTTCAATTTTTCTTCACAATCTATTCAACTGCTATATTAGCCCAAGTTAAAGGAAATCTTTGTTGTTTGTCTTTTCCTGCAGTTAATAAGCAATTAAATGATAAAGAAAGAGTTGCTGCAGCCCTGGAGAACCCAAACCTTCGCCAACTAGTAACCGAGTGCCTTTACTCCAGTGAACTTTGATTGGTTAACCTTACAGGAGGAGTTTACTTCTTGTGCAATCAGGATGAGGCTTCCTTTGTATCATAACTTGATCTCTCAAATGAAGAATGTTACATCCTTTCCTTTTGCGAGTGTATGTAAAGTATTGTTCTAAATCTAACTGATAAATAAAGTCTGAAGTAATTATCCCTTGTTAGCTGAGGTCAGCAAGAAAAGAATGAAATGTGGCACTCTTCTGTGGGCAAGATATAGGAAGTTGATATGCTCCTGGACAGGAGTAGAAGTTTCTCTTTTAGTCAGATTCTGACTATTATCAGATTCTAGGCAGATGGTTCTGCAGGCTTCTAGTTTATGATCATTACTTAATCAATGAAAACCTTTATTGAGAAACCTATTCAAGGTGGTTGGTCTCTCCTACCATCCAAACACACTAAGAATAAGATGGTAAACGCCATGTTGGTCATTGCGGTTGCCTTAAAACGATCTCTCGACAGGCGATTAGCTGACTACTGAACTTTCCAACAGCCTCAGGGCATATCATTAAGCAGTAACGAGTGATAAATGTCAGCATTTGTCGCTTGAGGATTATAGCCATAGACCTTTTCCAAGCAATGATAGCAAGGGTTGTGACTTGAGGCAATCTGAAAGCTTGCAAACGCATGCGCACCTGAGCTTCTTTAGGAACCTTAACTAACCTGATTCGTGCGGGGCATCTAGAGTTGATCCTTCTGACTTGCAAGTTCTTGACTGTTAATCCTCGAAGTTGTTAACTCGTCGCCTTGGGCCAGCTTTCAAGAAATAAAAAATGATTTTCGATCATTGTTACCAGTAAAAGGTGATAGCAACTTTTTACTCATCCACAAGGATTGAAATCAGAGTCTGGTATATAAAAATATGTGGCAGGTCTAAGAATTTAACGATCAGATGCAAGATTGGTTTCCACCATATTCACGTTTTTCATTCAGCTAGTGCGAGTTAAAACAGATACTGAAGGTGGATAAACTACCTCGGGATGGTACTCAGTTATTGAATCATTTAACTCGTCATTGCAGGTTAATATGGCAAAAGGGTTTTAACTGCCAAGCAAGGGCAGGAAAACGTAATTCGCTTGCATGATACATTTATTTGTTTCTTGATATCATCAATCAAGACATTTTTACTCAGCTTGCAGCTGACGCAAGACTCCCCGGTTCAGGAATCACAACAGCTTCAGAGTTGCCATTTATGCCATTCAGTGGTGTAATGTCAAATCCCCAGTATTTAGCAGTTCTTACATCTTCCTCGACCATCAATCTTGAAAATTCTTCATGATCATACTTCAGGGTAGCCTTTCCTCCGAACTCACTGGGGAGGTTTTCAGCGTCAAAAAAGGTCTTCATCAGCTCCATGCTACTTTTGTTGTTTGGATACACAAAATGTATCTTCTGAAAAGTTTTTGGATCCACGAAGTATCTGACGACCTGAAAAGGAAGAGGAAAGCAGTTCTTCAATACGCTAAGAACTTCAAAGTTCTTTTTGTAGGTAGGGTTGGAGGGAATGGAAGTAGCGCTCATACCTTCCAAAATGCCTCGAAAATTCTAGGTGGGCTATACAGAATTATTAAACCAAGTCTCTCTGGGTAATGGTTCTGTAGAACATAAATGATATCTCGGGCTGTTGAGATGGCAATGTTAGTGTTCAAAGACCAACCGTTGAAGTCTATGAGCCATGACATCTGGTCTTGGCCTTCTGGCAAGTCCAGCACGGCATTTTCTATCAGATAAACTAGATGACGGATATTTCCCTCAGGAGACGCCGAGTTCTGCAACAATAGATAACTTTCATGTTAAAAAAAAAAAAAAAAAAATTACAGCATCAGTAGAAATAGCAAACTAATTTGAAATAGATACCAAGGAAGTTTTTAACAGGAAAGGCAAAAAACTGGGAAGTATACCTGCATTCCGGGCCTCATTATGAGGACAGTTCTCCCCAGTCGATCATGAAAATTTGCTCTGGAGACTTTGCCAGTCTCACCTTCATGTGCTACTTCATGCTGTAGACGGTGAAAATGATTGCCATGGTCAGTCAAAGAACCATGGAGATACTCTTTAAGAGGTAAAATAAGAAAAGAAGAAGAGCAAGGGAGTGCATAGTTAGTTTTATGCATTAGCATTTATACGAAGTTCTCCATGGTACGATATATTACCCAACGGATTTCTTCTGGCTTATAAGTTGCTCTCCACTTTAGTGACTCCTTCAACATTTTCTGAGCCTTGTTAACATTCCAATTTCGGGCTTCCAGGTATCTCCTTAGACAAGCATCTGAACAGTACTTTAAGCTGCGTCCAGTTTGAGGTCCAATGGCAGTCCTCAGTTCTCTGACCTGCTCACAAAGAATCAGCTAATTAAATGACGCACAAAAAGACGATTGCCAAATTTTCTTAATCTGAGGCTCCATCTTCTCTTGGTTACCTTAGCATCTTTCTCCGCTGAATTCTCCTCACGATTGCTGCTAGACTGCTTTTTCCAGAACATGGTTAATGCTTAACCTGCAAACAATAAGGAGGTATTTACATTTCAATAACCTTTGAATATGACCAAATCTTTGCAAATAAGACGTTTTTTTGTTAACAAAACTCATGAAAACTAGTCAAAGCATTAGAACCAGAGGCAGTATATACATCTTAAGGCGGACATAAAGAAGATTGCATGCATAAGAAAGCGCTTTTATTTCCATGGCCAATTGAGTTGAAGCTCGAATCTTCATCGTGCAAGCTAGAATATGTGAAAAGTAGACATAACAAACACGATAGCTTTTCATAGCAGTAGTTTCTTTTCAAGGTCAGAAGTCAAATATTATTTATGCTATTGGAGATGGAAACAAAGCGTATATACTTCTTTTTTTTTTTTCTTTTTACAGATAATAAACAAAATTTAAATTGTAAATTCATAATTCCGTCTATTTGTACGCAGATAATAAACAAGATTTATTTTTCTTAATTATGAAGATCAAGAAATTGAATAGAAGTACAAAGAAAAGCATCTTATGCGGAAAATTCAGCAGTAATCTGTGTAACGCCTCCGTTATCCTTCAAAATTGGATGTCGCACTTAACAGATGCCTGCGGAACAAAAGACCCAATGTGAATTCAGATCTTTATTTAGTTTTAGTAGTCCTGCCCTGTTATTAATTTCTAGCTCCATGAAGAAAAAAGGATAGTCATAAAGAGAGACTAAATGCCAGAGTCAAACACGTTATTTTGACAACTAATGTAGCGAGACCAACGTAATTCCTGAAGCCATCAACAAAGCTTGGCTACTGTCATGTCAAACGATTGGGAACGTTGCTAGTTTGACTCTGCCAACAATGTGCGGCGTTACTGAAGATGAAATGTTTCAATTTTTATAAGAAGAGAGGTTTTTTGACTTTCTTACATTTGCAAGACAGATCCCACCATTTCCTTTACTAACTCCTGCTGATTCAGTGAACAACAGATAAACCACAAGCAAATGGAGATCGCAAATCACACGAACAATTATTTATCAGCAAGCGAATCATTCAGATACACTACTTTTATTGCATTAGGAGGCTCAGGGAGTAGTTGAGGTCTTGACTCTTGAGTTGCCATAGAAGAAGAGTTAGATCAAAAGTTCAGATCGTTTTCACATTATTGAATAATCACAATAAATGGGAACGCCGGCTACGCTTCATCAACTAATTTATACTAGTACACTTCCATGTGCACAATGCATACTCGGTGATCTACAATACTGATGGAAAAAGCTCTCAAAACCAAGTAGAACCAGGGAAAAGATTTGGTCTGAGCTTTTGATCTAGCATGAGGAGAAGTGGTCTGAAAGTCGCATGTCATGTCCATCATCAAAGCAAAAACTGGAAATGCCGAGCCCTTTTTTCAGAAAACAGTACCTATGGAAAACAACACTACTAGTATGGAAATCATCGAACAAAAACTGTTGTTGACTAATCCGATCAGGATTTCTGTAATCTTTTCTTGGTCTGTCTTTCCTTTTCTTTTCTTTTTTTTTCAAGAGTTATTTCATATTCATCCAAGTTCGTGAAAAATGTAAATGATCCTTCATCGGTTGATCCGTGGAAGCGTAAAAAGGATCAAGATTACGTAAAGCTCGTAGTAGTGTTATGGTATGAAAAGGGAAAACAAAAGCTTAAAAGACATTTGTAGCATAATGAAACAGTTGGTTATAATCAAGGTAACTGACCTGAGCAACGTCGTACAAGAAACTAAGAAAAATCTGTGACTTCAAACTTCAACGTTCAAGCTCTCTCGAATTCCAGAGAAATAAAGAAATGGTCACTCGAAATTTAGAGAGGTAGAGAAATGGAGAAATTTCTGGTCGGATGCTTTATTTTGGCTTTTTGGCCCGGACGAGCTTTGAGTTTGTCGAAGTTGTAGTACTACTACGATATTTTGGAGATTTTATAGAGGGACGAGTCAAAGAGAGGAACAATAATAAAATAATTTTTCGTGATGATGAAATGACAGAAGTGCCCCGGCAGACTTGGACTTCTGCTAACGACCAAGTGTCCAAGTCAAGTCATGTTGTGGCTGGCTGCAGTCTTAGAAATTGGAATTGGATGGCTAACTTTTCCGACTACCGAATCAACCAGTAGTACGACAGTTTTGACTGAGACGGCAGCGATTAGATAATTTACTAATTGCAATTATGTGGTGGATTAAGCGTGTTTCTCTCAACTTTTGCCCTTTAACAGAAAAAAAAAAAACCTTTTCTTATTTTCCTGAATACATCAGTAGTGTTTACTAGAGGATTATTTATTCCATGTTGCAAAATGACCAAAAACAAAAGTTCAACACGGGGTTGGTTGTTTGAATTCCCCCCCCCCCCCCAAACACACATGCAATATATATATATATATATGAAGAAAAAAGTCTCGATTGGGTCTTTTTTAATTGAGAGATGATGTCCAACAATTACATGTGCTGCGTCCACATTGTATGAAATGATAGGGTTGTTTTATCCCTTCGAATCTTAGATAACTAGTTATAACCAATAAATTCATTATAGTAATTTCACTCTCAATAATTTATCATCCAACATCGTTCTATACTTTTTTTTATATGGCCCTTTGGCAAATGCTCTAGAACCAAAAAGGGTAAATTATCAATAACTACCATGTGTCCCTTTTTTCCATCTAATCCCTTTAACGTTTTAAAAAATCTGCATAATTTTCTTGTAGTTAGGTGTAAAGTGAAAATTTTAATGGAAAGTGAAGAAGTGATTTCTGATGGGTAGCTGAATCGACCTGAATCAGTCTTCTCTCAAGTGAGGTGTGACAGTTTTGCCGGTCCAAAGTGAATCTGCTTATCCGAAGTGAGTGGCGGGGCTTCTCTCCTGAGATCACTCCGACGATCAAGTCAGTATATTTGAGGAATAAAAACGTAATGAACAGTAAAAGGCAGTAGTGTGCTTACTTAATAGGAGTGAATGGAGGACAGGGCGGTGGGCTTATGTTGGCGGGACCCACGTTCTGGCCATTACGGCTCTATCCCCTGACAGGAGGTCTGATTGAGAATGTAGTAGTCGGGGCTTGATGACGGGGGCTCTAACGCAGTAGCCATTAAGAGCATCAGGTGCTTTTCAGATAAAGCATGAGCTCCGTACTGTGTCAAGTAGGCTTGACACCAACAGCGTGCAGCCGAAGTGGAAAGGGTGAGGTGCAGAGGTCATCTATGTCAGAGGCCATAGATCCGCCCGAACTCAGGGGTCATGTTTAGGCCATGACCGCGTTTGAGTGATGGTCGCGATGGGTCACTTCGGCAGCGTGGGGTTGCCAGAGGTAGGCATCCTCAGAAAGCAAATCGCATAATGTTATTGATTGAAATATTAATATTATACTTACTTAAGGGGTCTAACCACTTTGCATGAATCATAAAAGGACTATTTAAGTATATGCAAAACCATAGGGAGGGGTTAAGTGAATAAAATGAATATTATAATTTCATATACATAGTACTTAGAGTTCATCTAATCAATTTATTATAGTCGGATGTACTTTCTGTCCACTTTTTACTTTACATAAAATCATTAGGAGATTTATGGATATTTTAAAACATTAGGTGGTTGTGTGACAATATGATTGGAGGGTTATCAGTAATTTACTCAACTTAAAAAAAAAAAAAAAAAAGATTGTACTCTTTTTCAAGACAAAGGGTGATTATCATTCTTCCTATTTCCGAACCAATACATCACGTAATATTGACCCAACAAAAATATGATCGTACTCTTCCTGAAGACAAAGGGTGATTAATCTTTTTCCTAATTCCACACCAATACATAACGTAAAAGGTAATAATTGAACTTGGGACTTCTTGAAATCCTCCTGCGGCCTCTGAAAATTGCCTGAGGCCTGCTAGAGGACCGTATAGGACACAAAATCAAAGAAAAATAGATGGATTAGACAAACGACCTATAATTTCTTACCTGCCCTTTATTTCTGAGGCCCCTCCCCACCTGTCTGGGAAGCGCCCATGGCTGCCTTCAGATAGTTGTCACCATCCTATTTGAAAGAAATTTAATTCTGCCCGCCTTCTTAGGTAAGCATTAAAGTAGGATCGTCGACTTCGGAGGTTAAGTTGTATGTTCCTACCGCATTTGCTACGATTTTGTTATCAACACAAGAATGTGCCCTGTTGTTTGTATGCTATAATTCATGTCCACATCCCTCAGAGTGTCTTATGGTGATTAGAAAACCAAGCAAATCGTTATGCTGTATTACCCCATTACTTGATAATAGTATACACGTACACAGCACCAATAGCAATTCTACAATACATTTATTTCTCGTCAAGACCTCACTGTGGAGCTTTCACGGACTTTGATATTTGCTTCAATAGCATGCCATCAGGCAGTTGAGGCAATTATTACAACACCAATACATAGCAAGTGAAAAATCTTTGTTCACGGATTTCGTCAAGCTTTGCTCCTTGTTTGTATCATTAAACAAGATTGATGCTTATTTTGTACCGATAGGATGTGCACAAAAATGACAAACAAGCACGCACGGGGTTACCTCTCAATGAGTCCATCATTTCATGACCTTCCTTCAATTTAGTTGCAACTAAGGTTCACAATCCTTCCAAGCTACCCCGTCGAAGGTAACCTCTGCTGGGGTCAACTGAGAATTGAGAAACCTGAAAAAGCATGGGTGGATAAATTATGAGCTGCTAAAATCGCTTCCAATCTGCCCAAAACTACACATCTTTTCAATTAATAGCGAGACAACTACGGACTAGTATTTGGTTGCACTTGCACACATTTGACGGCACTGAAGTCAAGAATTATGAGGAAAATCCCAATGGCATATATTATCGCAAAGCCTATAAAGTGGTTTTGCCAGAAGAAGCATAATACGATGGATTGCAGGGTAGGATGTCTATGTAATTCTAATTCAGGCAAGGAAGAAAGAAGCTCCTAAAGGCACTGGTTCCGGTAGGCTTAACTCCTAAAGGCTACTGACTTCATGTTAAATAAAAAAAAAAAAAAGAAGAAGGAAAGAAGCCATGGCAAGTCATTATGAGTGATTTTTCAGCTACTCTTGGGATTGTTTCCTCCTTATCTTCTGGTTAGTTATTTATTCATTTTTGTATTGAAATTGACACCTCAAATACCGTACCCGATCAACTTTGAATTATGTATAGGTTATACTCTCTTTTTATTTTTATTATTATTATTTTTTTTTTTTGTCAACACAGGGGTGTCCGGATCAATTCTTACGGGACCCGACTAATCCCCTGCGACCCGGGCTCGACGCCCCAACCTGGCCCGAACACGTTAAGTACGCGGAGGAATCCAGCGGAACGGAGACTCGAACTTGTGACCTCAAGGTTCACTGGTGAGAGGCGCTGCCGCTGGACCATTCACGCGGGGACTTATACTCTCTTTTTAGGTGAAACGTTATTTGGGTTGAATTTGGCATGGATTCCTTTGGGTGATGACGCACCCCATAAATGACCAGAAATTTAAACGTGGACACTAAAGAAGTCAAAACTGAATGGGCTCAACATGCAAACCAGGGGTTAGCAAGAACCACAGTGCTGGGCTTATCAGAGAAAACCCAATGGAACCAATCAAACAAGGATCAAATGAAAAAACTGATCCTTGATATGGAATGGATGGGGCTCAAGCTCATGTTACGTTCCAAAGTTTTGTAGATTTAGCCTACGAAATCCAAATTCTAATTCTTCAAAAGCAAAACAAGGAACAATTGAACGACAAAACAAGAGAACTTCAAGAAACGGTTGCGATTCAAATTCATATGACCACTAAACCAAGTTGATTTTATACAAATGCAAGCAACGACAACAACTTAATATTTAGAGACTTCGTACTTGATCATGCCTACATATGCAAATCAACAATTTTGAGCCACCAACTTATATTACCAAATAGTTACCGGATGGTCAACCCGCTGAACATCCAGTCACAATTATTCTCCATAACTAAGACGGGGTCTACAGTAACAAGGGGCAGGGGAATAGTACTAGTATCCTACGACGGATTACGCGGCACACCAATCAACACCTTTATTTATTCATGAGCCGTGACTACGCTTCCTTTGACAGCATTTAATGTGTCTGCGCGTGCCAGAATACCCAGAAACAGGGGATATCTATCCATCTATGTTATATTGGATATAGAAGGCAGGCAGAAAGACTTCGGACTAGCTGGATTTGGAAGCCTGGAAGAAGAAGAAGAAGAAAACTTAATGGAGATGATTATGGGCAGTAGGAGCTGCAGGATTCGAAGGCTATGTTCATCTTCATCTTCATCTTCATCGTCGTCATGGAAAAGGGTGGAGAGATCTAAAGGTCTGTTGCTGGCATCTGAATTGGCCAGCTCATCAGATGTTGCAAGACTCACAGGCTATGAAAGACTCTCGCAATCCACGGGGCTGCCCAACGAATACGGTGGCGGCTGTAAACCGATTAGCATTACGAGGAAACATACTGCAGCTTGGAGGTATCTTGGGAAGGTATTTTCTTTCAAGAGAACGGGTGGCAGAGGAGAAGTCGCGGCGGAGGCTGCAGCCAATCCACCGGAGGCAGTGGTAAAGAAGAAAAATAGGTCATCTTGGCTTCCTGATCGTGACCGACGATGGCCTGTTCAAGGTTGGTAACAAAACTAAGCATGTTGACACGACAGAGGGAAGATGATTGGATGTGAATACAGCTTAGAGGAAAAGGTTGACTTTCCATCGTTTCTGTTCTCCTCCTCAGCCTGGTCGATTCGGTAATACAAATTGTTTTTTTTTTTTTTTCCCCTCGGTGTTCTTTGATAGATGTGATAAAGAGAATTAGTAGCATATTTCGTATTTGCTTGTAAATGCTTTCCCATTATAGATGATGAGGAGCTGGGATTTCTTTTTGCAACCTCATTCGGCAACACTTTTGTCTAGTTGGACACGAAAGCAGTTTTTGAAGGTCTTTTCTTTATTTCCTTTCCTTTTTTTTTTTTTTTTCCCGATTAGTCGAACGCATTATCCATCCATCATTCGGTACTGGTAGACCTGCTTTTCGGTTGGTCAACCATATGCGTCCACAGTCAACAAATGGGTTGGTCTATTCCAACGTTAATAAGTAAATCACACAAAAAAAAAAAAAAAAAGTTACCACTTGATAATAGTCATATTGATCATACTTTGCCCGTCAAAACATTCCATAATTCGATTACAGAATAAAACCACCACTGAAGTTCTCGACGTCACACTACTTAACGTGTGGATTATGGATTCCAAATAAATTCAATCTCATGTAATTGCTGTATCAGCCCCTCCAAGAGAATGGACATTTCAGGTCTTCATCCAATTTTGGATACCGCAAAACACAAAAAATTTCTCCATCTTCCAGAATAGCAGAGATACAGCGAGGCTAAAAACATTTTGCCAGTAACTAAAAAGATAGCCCATTTGTTTCCAACTTCAGAAAAGAATGATATCAGGCTGCTAATTATATTCTGAAATGGAGAACAACTGCTGAGGAATTGTTTTCAAAGGTCAGACAGCTTGGGAAGAAATCACCTTCAACTACCTCCTTCCACGCGCTGCTGAAATAGATCAGTCGGGAGACTCGAGCAAGTAGCAAACCCACAATCATAAAGCTACGGCACACTTCCACCCGGGCCTTTTGCAGACTGGTAACCAAAACAACTACTAGTAGAGTACGCTTCTTCGTCTCCTCAAAATTCAGCAGAAGAACCATCTTTGCCATCATCGTTCACCGTGCAGTTTTGAACCTTTGCCAAATGGATAGTGAAACCAACGGAGGAGGAATGAGAAGAACCTGAATAATAGTTTGATTTTAAACTATGATTGCATATCATCGAGGAAATGCATGACTGCAGGTGTGCAGCTGTGTATTTGCAACACTGACCACGATAAACACGAAAGCTTCCTTCCTTGCTCAAACAGAGTTCCATGAATGACAAATCCAGGGATTTCATTCATGTAAGCAATCAAAAACAAGAAAGCAGGTAAATAAGCCTGTAATAAATTAACTTCAAGCCTATTATTTCAAACCTGACTCTGAAGATAACCGATGAACTAGCTGCGACCTCATCCTCTCAACAGGTGCCAAGAGAGTTGATTATGATCAAGCAAAATTAATCATGGTTGGCTCCTACAAACCAACCTTACTGAGCATTGTTCAGAAACTCAGTCCTACTTCGATGGCAAAGATGCAATTAAGACAAGTTTTTCTTTTCAAACTACGAAAGCTTTTACCTCCTGAATATGCATGTATGTATACATATTCCGGTGTGGTCATCCTGGCTTTAATCTCACAAACAATTTGGTTTGGCATAGAGGGTGATTCTTTGTTTTCAACTCAAGTATGAGCATATTTTAGGCATTCTTCTCCTATCCTGTGAGCATGATGACAGCTGGAAGTCTATGCTTCCAACAAGGATTAGAATTATAGGATGCGAAGGAGCTCAAAACAACAGACCAGTACACCTGAGGAAAGCTCGTTTATACAGTGACGAGCCAAGCAGCAAAGTGCCAGCAGTCACGGAAGAAAATTTAGTGCATAAAGATCCAAACTTTCGTTAAGAGGAAAAAAAATATGTACTCAATGATTTCACAAGAAGACGAGTAAGGAAAAAAATATGACGAGCCAAACTTTTCAATTTGTAAGAACTTCCCCACCAAATCAATACAAGAGGTGACACTTTGATTACAATAGACCCCAAAAAATCTTTCGATTCACGGGACAAATCAAGCAAAGGAAGCAACTTCACAGCAATTTGTACATCTCCCAATACGATAAGAGACGGAGACGGAGACGGAGAATAAAAAACAATCTTTTCGATACATGGGAACATATCAAATTAAACATAAAGATATAATTTCTCTCAGGAAGAAAGAAAAGGGTTGTAGATTTGTAGTGATACCTGTAACCTCAAAAATACAGGTGGATGCCATGTCTGCGGCTTGATGACAAAAATCGCTGAAGGATAAGCCACAAAAGCCTATTCCGCCAGCGTTTTGAACAGGGCAGGGGTACGACATCCCCAGGCAGTCGTACCGACACATTGAGGCGGTTTCCAGTTTGTCGGTCGGATCTGGCGGCTAATAATTTGTCCATTACCGGAACGGATTAGTGTCAGCCCGGCTGAGCTGGCAACTAATAATTCAATGAATAAACAATTTAAGAACCCCAAAAAAAAACATATTTTTTGTTTACAAAATTGTGCTCTTAATTTTAAATCCGGTATCATTGCAATTAAACAAACAGACTTTTATCGGGTTTTTTTCGAATTGTTTCCCCCCCTTTTATTGCAAGGCTGATAAAACTTGGCTTAAATGTTTAACCGAATTGATCAAAACAAATTAGTTTTTTTAAACTTTTATTCCTTATATTTTTATATAAGTTATTTTTCCTTTTTATTCCTTACATTACAATTTACATGTTCCGGAAATGCAATTTTCTTTAACAAAATATGAATGCAAGCTAGATTCAACATAAACTAACGAAATGTTCCATCCTGCCAATTTGTATAGAAACACTTAACGAAATAGATCCGGGTGGATTCGAACCACCAACCTCTCAGGTCATCTGAAAACCTGAGCGCTCTTTCCAACTTCAGAGCCTACAGATCCTTCCATAACCAGGGCAGAGCACAAACAATAACGCAAACAAGTCGACTACAGGAACCAGCATTTTTTTGTGCTCAATGATTAATCGTAAAACCCAAAAGTTAAACACCTTGAAAGGACTAAGACATGAACAAAATACCTTTAAAGGCAACCAAATGTATCCACTATTTTGTGACACTTAAACTCCAATTTTTTTTTTTTTTTTAAAAAAGAAGGCCGCATTAGTTGCAACCCGTTGAAAACTAAGGCAAGATTCTGATATGGAATTTGGATGCTAGCTAATGTTCTACAGAAGCTTTAAGAATCCATCATGTAGGGCTATAAAAATGAAAGACAACGGAAATGGAAACTAAAAGGTTAAATTCAAGAACGAGGAGGTTTGGGCAGGGCTCATTGCAATCAAGTAGGGTTTTGCCAAATTAGCGAACCAGAAATGGTCAAGCTTCTTCGGAATGACAAAAGCTGCAGCCAGCAATACTAGGACCAAAAAAATACGCACACACACAGTCTCTTGCCTGGCAGTGAGACACAGATTTGAATGAGGGCATACTGCCAACACATATTTCAGCTGGTGACTGAAGTGAAAAATCAGTTACGCCAAGAAAAATAGCCATACTAAAAGACAGATGCAAAAAATGCAAAATACTAGATAGCATTTGTTAAGAGATCACCTTAAAACAATTCCGTCTTCATGCTGCTAGCTCAGTTCAAAAAAATGAGTTGGATGACATACAACCAGCGCGTAGTACAAAGGTTGGCTTCCAAGTTCCATCAAGCACTAAGAGATAAAATACTAAACAACTGTTGGCTTCAATAATCAATACTCATTGCACCTCCTTGCCTAGAGGTAAGCATTTTGCTCTCCTTGCCTAGGGCCACGCATTTTGAAGGGCTCAGCCAGATGAGCTGAGTGAAACTTCCCAATCAAATGGGGTGGCCAGAATGAGCCAAGGTTACATCAACAAACTTCCAATCCAAAAGGGACAAGGTGTGAAACCTTCGTCCCAGATGATGCTCAAATCTTGTCCTCTGCATTTTAGCTCAAGATCGAATCCGAAAAAAAGAATCAGATGAGCACTTCCATCAACAATTCAGAGTAAGCTTCCAGTTTAAGAAACTCGGTGCCTGGATGCTGGTATCACCAGTAGAAAGAGCACATATACATCCTGATGCAAGAATATTAGGTATCGAACAAATATATGGGTGGAAAGTACCCAATCTATCCATCAAGAAAACAAAACTCCACCACCCAGAAGAAAGTTGTTGAGCCAACAAAAACCATAGCTCCTAGGGTAGCAAATACAAGATTGAAACTGTACAAAGGGAAATATGTAATACAAACTTGAAAATAAATTACAAAGAAAACACCTAAGCTCAAACCCAGAACCCAACCACCATTAAATTGTCGGCCAGAAAAAAACAGAAACTTACATTCCACCTCTGAATTCAAAATGCAGTGTTAAAAGCGAATTTTGGGACACGCGATTGAAGCAAGTCATCGTGACATGCATACAAGCCAACTGTAATCAGCATTATACGAAAGCTTGGTCTGAAACCTTTTAAATTATGGAACTTTGAGATTATGAACATGTATCAGGTCTGCAATATGTAAAATGGATGCATTAATTATTACTTATTGAAGAGAAGGATTACACCTCAAAAAATATGATGGCTATCAATTGGTATAAATTCTTCTAACAGTGTTTTGAATTACCAATAATGCCTGTTTTTTCAAGGTGAGCACGTTATAGGTGTTCATTATTATTTTATGGGCCTCTTGGGAGGTGGTGATATTAGCTACAAATATATGCTTTATCGTGAATTAGTGCAAATTAAAAGCCAGAAACTGTATAATTTGTACCTGAGTTGAGAACGCTCCGTCTATGTAAGGGCACACAAATCAACAGTTGGTTCGCTTGCAAAACTGGGAGATTTGCTGAGAGAATTGAGAGAAGACGCGCACACACACACACACACGAGGAAGGGGGGAGAACCCGGGCTGAAAGATAAAATGTTCCCCGTGCGATCTCCCCTCCCTCCAAACCCAAAAATCTTATCTTTCATTAATCATAGTGACCTGCCATGCAAGCGCACCTGCCATGGCAAAGGTCAGGATGAAAACAGATTGACAATAGGATTCTGAACCACAATTTTTTTCCTTTTTCTACATCCTGGTACAATCTGGAATCTCCAATTAACTGGTAACTTCGAACCTTGCTTGCCCAAAATTTACCAGAAAGCATCACAGATTTGGAACCAGGAACACCCGGTTTCAATCGCTTGTTTTCTCCAACCGATGTAGCAACCGCTTCCAGACCAGCAGCCTAAGGACAAGTACGTAAACGTAATAAGATTCCAAAAAGCTACAACTTCTATCCAAAAAAAAAGGGCCGGTTCAGTCCACAAATTATAGAAATCCAAAACCTCAACTTTGTTTCTCAGTACGAGCCAAATAAACGTCAAAGATTCGCACCCAGAAGGCAGTAATCTACCACCTCATGGATTAAAATCCAATTTCTCTGATCGAGAAAAATATAATCAAGCATCCCGAAAAAGAAAATAAGATAAAGAGGCAAATCTTTTCAATTCACCCACACATTCAAATCAATGAAAAGGTATAATTTGTCAAAATTCAATCTAAAGGGACGAGGGATAGGGTGGACAAATAAGCACCACAAATGGAGAGAGAGAGTTCAACGCAACATTCAGATCCATGAAAACGGTAAGAGATTTTTCAGGGATGAAAGAGGGCAAGAGCAAATTCACTATACCTGCAAACTCTGCAACAAATATAGAAAGCTCATGACCTGAGCTCCCATCCTACAAATCTGCGTCGCCTTCGAGGAAACGTCGAGCTCCCATCACACAAATCTGCGTCGCTGTCGAGCCAACGCGTTTGAAGATTCAGATGGGAGAACTGCATCACAGCTGCTTGTTGAGGAGAGAATAGACCAAGGGACTTTAAAGGTACGGAGGCATGACAAAGAGAGGAGAGGTGTGGTAGGAATTTATAGGGAATTAAACCGACTGATGGGAGGCGGTTTCGGGCTGAGGTTGGTCATTTTTTGTTCCTCAAGGGGAAGGGAAGGTTGGTCTGCGCTGAGCTGTCAACACTGAATTCCTCCAATAACCAGTCACCACGAGTAAATTCTCCAATAGCTTGTAACCACGTGTAACAAAGGAAATTGGAAAAAAAATTTGGTGTGTATTGTTACCCTAATTGACGTCCTAAACCAAAAGTATTTTTTTCCAGTAATCAACTAATCAAAATTTAGGTGCGGGTGCACAAATTTCTTTTTGATTATCATCTCAATTTATAAAATTAACAATATTCTAATATCATATATTAAAATTTTGATAATTCTGGTTTATAATAGGATTTTAGTAATAGAGTTTTAGTAATACAATTTAAGAATTTTGATTCTAAAATTAGGGTTAAAGGATTATACTGTGATGGTTTGGAAATTAGGATTTCATGCAAAACGTTAAACCCTAAATCCTAATTGAGCCAAATAACACATAATTCGTTTTATGGAAAAAATTGTCGCAGTTAAAAGTTACATTTTATTAAAAAGAAAAAGAAAATATATCACCACTCACAAGATGCATAAAAAACAATAAAACCTCATGAGTGGCGCACTTGGGATCCTCGGTGACATGTTTTTCTATGCCAATTCAATGCCACCAACAGTATTGTGCCAAGTGTCATGTTATTATTTACATTTTAATTTTCTAATAATTCAACTTTGCTTGGTTTAACATAAGTTTAAATAATAACAAGACACTTGGCGCAACACTATTGGTGGCATTGAATTGGCATAGAAAACATGTCACCGAAGATCCCAAGTGTGAGTGGCGACCCTTATTCAGCAACCCACCTCAAACAACACCAATTATCGGACAATTTTTAATTTTAACGATATTCCAAGAAATTCGCCTAAAAAAGTGGAATAGTGTATTGTTTCAAAAAGGAAAAAAAAAAATTGGGATAATTTCAAAAACCTCCCTTGAGGTTTCCAATAATTACAGAGAGCTTCCCTCAAGGTTCAAAAAAAATACACTTGCCTTCATCGCTTTTAAGGTTTATGTAACAATATAAACTCAATAACCTATAATTTTTCATAAATATCCTGAAATACCCTTCTTCAAAGAACAAGACAAAACAAAATAAGGTTTTAATCTTTAATTTCTTGTACATGTCATACTTACTAAAACAAACAAAGTCCAATGACTCCAACTCATCTCAAAATTTATTATTTGTTAATTGTTGTCTAATGCAACTCACTACCACCATTACCAATACTAAACTAAGAAGATTAAATTTTATATTTACTGACTATCACTATTGAATATATTCAAATTAGTTGTTATGTATTCAACTGTGATAATGTATACACTGTCAGTATATAATAAGATTTAATCCAACTAAAAAAATGCTCTCATGTCCCTAAGAACGTAATTCCTCATTGCTCTAGCATACCTAGAAATAGAGACAAAATTCTACCTTTATAATAAAATTACAATCAATAGATAAATAAAAGAGAGAACCATTGAGTAATTGCTAGAATTTTTTGCTTAACATAATAGTCATTTCTTTATGTTTCAACTCTCAATTTCATTTTTTTTTTTGCCTACATCTCTGCCACCTTTTTCATCTTTCTCTAGTTTGACGATAAAATCCACAGTCTGTACCTTGTCAATTTGGTAACTTCAATTGACTAACATTTGTAAAGAGTAAAACTATTGGGAAAAAAAGAAATGATCTAAAATTTTTATAGTAAAATAGAGACAGGAAGACAAAAAATACAAATAAATTTTAGAGATAATAAAAAAATTGATAGTGGTGTAGTTGGTAATAATAGAGCGCGATATTTGGTGTGAGGAAGAAGCGACTGTAGAAGAAAAAGAGAAGAATATGAATATGAAAAGGAAAAGGAGAGAGGGAGGGAGGAAGATTAGAAAATTGATGGAGATTTTTTTGGAGATTCGGAAATAACAAGTAGAATAATAAGAAGTATTTTTCGATTTTAAATGTCTCTTTATAAATTAACTATTAAATGAAGGACATTTTAGTTATTTAATTAGACCAAAAGAGGTCGATGTAATTATTGAAACCTCAGTCGAGTGAAATTGTCAAAACCTCAAGGGAGGTTTCTGAAATTATCCCAAAAAACTTTTGCAAATATGAACACGATCTGACCATCACCCAGTATTTGTTTGTCAAATAATACTTCTATTAATACTCAAAAAGAGCGCTCTATACAAGAAGTACCATCGAGCTGGTATTCTTTTTAGCTAGAGTGGTAACTATTAGCATTAGACACAATGATTAGATTTGATTTATACCAATTTCTCGTACCTTGCATATATATTTTCACAAGATAAACGTGACATTCGACTACTCGAAAGAGAGAGAGGGAGGGCGTTTAAGGTGAAATAATAATTGTCTCATGTTCAAAAAAATCCCTCGAGTTTGTATAAAAATTGTGTGTTCGATGAGCAAATTTTGTAGACTGGACCCATTGCTTATACTTAATTCTCCTTCCATTTCTTTAAATTTGTGATAGGATGGGCTGGTGGGACATGCAGCAGTGAATTCAGGGGGGAAATATAAAGGATTTAGAAAAAGAAAATCATCCGTTGCAGACTTGATCATTAACTTTGGTACACATTGATGATACTTGTCTCTCTCTCTTATTTATTTATTTTTTTTTTACCCCTGCCAAAAACAGAGAGAGAGAGATACTTTAAATCTTTTATTTATAAGAACACAGGATCAAATAACATTTTACAGATGTACTGCAAACGAGGATCATAATTACAATGATTAGGCATCAATCCAAATTCACGCCTACAAAAGAAGAAAAAGGCAGATGGGTGGAATAATATGTAAGGTGGAGAGGGTTGTCATTTGATCTTTCTTCTTCTTGTGGCTGTGTGTTTTCTTTCCTTGGAAACAAGTGAAGTTGCGTGCAATAACGCCATCCGATCACATACAAAACATAAGGCGAAATCAGGCGCGCATGCTAAGTCTCTCTCTCTATGCAGTCGCCTCCCGGCCTTGATTTCGATCTTTCCCCTCCTCCTCCTCTTTTGCTTCACTCCCTTCTTCATCATGCACGTATAATAAAATGGATTATGCATTATCTATTATGAATAAAACCACCAAGATGACAAAATACATCCACAGCTCTGATGTAGTCTCTTCTTACTCTAGGACAGTCGAAGGAGATGAAGAAGCAGGCATAAAAACTAGTACCCGGAAATTTGGCACGGCTATCCTGGTTGATACTTACTATTATTATCTTCCTCATCTTTAGAAGCAGTCATATACTTCCCATAGATCACCCCTCCAAAGCCCTCCTCCTCACAACGTGAGGCGTATGCTTCTCCCAGAGAAGTCAAAGAATCCGTTCTTGAGTGGCCCGAAAAAAAAAAAAAAAAAGGATCCTTCAGCAAAATACATAATTATAAAATTCTATCTACGTTGATGAATTCCAGAAATCTTAAAAAGAGGATCGTCAGAATATAGTAAGGAAATAAGGTAGCAATAGTGCAGACCCGACTGCCGTTTCTTCACTGGGAGGTTGAGCCATCTTATCAGTCACGAGGATGACACCTCCAAAGCCTTCCTCCTCACAACGTGCAGCATATGCTTCTCCCAGAGAAGTCAAGGAATCCGTTCTTGAGAGAGGGGGCAGAAAAAAAAAAAAAAGGATCCTTCAGCAAAATACATAATTACAAAACTCTATCTACTTGGATGAACTCCAGAAATCTTAAAGATGATCGTTAGAATATAAAGAAATAAGGCAGCAATTAAGCTAGCTGCCAAGTGCAAACCCGACTGCCATTTCTTCATTAGGAGCTTGAGCCATCTTGTCAAGACTCTCTGACTCTGGCTGATTGATATCAGTTCCTTGCACAGCTTGCCGGAACCGGAGGCCAGAAAGTTTAGGACAAATATCGGATGGCTTAGGAGAAGTAAAGGGTGCGGGCGACCTGATCAGTTTCTGTACTTTAAGCGCTCTAAGCATTATATCGGATCAAAGGCTCCAACTCATCGTAAACCCCCCCACAAGTATATTTAGCCAGAGGATGTGGAAAAGATAAGAATGAATTTCTGGCTGCATCTAGGAGCCAATTCTCCAGAATTTGACACGTTTTTCTGTTGATGACTATGGATCCATAATTTACCACCAGAACTTGCCACGTTTGATGACACGCTCGCAGCTGTTAGAACCTTCTTCTTCCCTTTTTTTTTTTCCCAAAAAAAATAACAATTCTTTGAAAGAGTAGCCATTAGAGAATTTAGAATACTGAGGAATGACCAGTTTGCGGGACACTCGTAGCATCAGCTGAACACAAGAGAGCACCAAATGGATTTGGTTATGTGTCAAGTTGGGCTTTCGGTGACGAAGAGGATGTAACTTGACTCGGGCTCTTATCAACTTCTGAGCCGAATAGATTTGCGAACTCCTCTGGGATTCCACTATTCGTGACAGCGGAAAGAAATAATAGATCTCCTCTGGGATTCCATATGTAGACCACCAAACTTTATAAAAGATGTATTATTCACCTACAAAGAGCGATTCTAAACTATGGCATTTCTGACGAATAAACACAAGCATATGATAATACTAAAATCAAGGAGATGAGTTATCCATTAGTAGCTTAGTATTGAATTTTCTATACATATATATATATATAGACCTTCAAGTTCTTATAAGACCACATGACGGTGGGATGGATGAATCTTAAACACTCTCCACCCTAAGTTATTCGCCACGCGGAAAAACCATTCTATGACAATAAACAATCTGTAGGTTATATTTTGCAAGAATGGCATGCTAACAATTTTGGAAGAATATAAAAATGGCTAATGGTTTAATTCATGTATAATTAGCTAGCTGCTTATTTTATGAGTACATGCAAAGTATGTCAAACATATTCTAAATCAACAATTTTGATGTACTAGCAATTACGTTTTCTATAAACATATTTTTCAATTATCTTTTTATCTCAGATGTGTCAAATTACTATAATATTTTTTTCTACAAAAAAATTCCAAAAAATAGCAATCTAAACAGGTTACGGTTGGAAAATATTTCATGAGAATATTCAAAAAAAATTTGGGTTAAAAGCACTAAACTCCCCTAATGTTTGATGTCATTTGTATTTTTTTTTCCTAACATTATTTTCGTTGCATGTTGTCCCTTCCGTAAAGTCACACCAATTTTTACTCTTAAAAAATGCCAAAAGTTGTAATTTTCCTCTTTATCTCCATTTCCCTCCATTCTTCTTTTTTCTTGCCCAAACCCCTCATATCACCTATTTTTAGAGATGCAATTTTTTTTTTGGAAAATGGAAATTTATGTTCCCAAAAACATCACTTTTATTTAAAATAATGCACCCATATTAAGCAAAATTAAAACCTTGCTATTGCTAACAATATTGCTCGTCAGATTGTCAACATCAATAAACAAAAGGTAACATATAATGTGGTAAGATATTTCTCATGCACGTGTTAGTAAAATTTTGAAAAAAAAAAAAATTTGTCGTTAAAATTATATGGTATTCTTTTTTGGTAATTATTTTATGATTTTTTTGGACATGAAATGATTTTATTTTAAATTTTACAATAGATTCCAAAGGCATGTAATTTTTTTAAAGTGGTTGGAACTCATTTTAATGACATTTCTTTGGAACAATAAGATCCAATCTCCCACTTCTTCCTCCAAAATGCAATAAAATATAATGATAAGAGAGATTTTTTAAATTTTTATTATGAGTAAAAGGGGCCGAACTTGAAATTTTTTACTTATACTTTTTTTCTTGTCAATAAAAAAAAATTCACTTATCCTTCCTCCCCCGTCGGCCGTCGCTAAAAGAGCAAGTGCAAATGTTACCAAACCTTAGGGGACTGATTGCTTTTAACCCTATTGATTTGTGAAGAACTTGCAATGTAAAGGGGACATCGGGATTGAGAGGGGTGGACAAGGGGACATCGTGAGTTGACTGGGAGACAAAAGTACCCACGGTAAATTAAAAAACCAGTGAGTAACATGTTTATGTACTAGTCATCTATCCGAAACACAGAAAAAGTGAGCCTGACTTTTACCATTCCACGTAAGTGATTTTTTCAGAGACGACTTTTAGCTTTAGGCAACTTGTTACTTTTCCCCCTTTTTTTTTTTTTTCTTCCCCATTGAGCTCCAACCCTCCCACGGCACTGCATCAATCGTCAAAATAGAAACAATTGCCCTCCAAAAGCAGGAGAAAGACAGAAGAAGAGTCAGAGATGTTGGCAGAGTTGGACCACCCGACCGTTGGTGGCAGAGACTGACTGACGTCATAAACCCCCATTCAGCGCCCAATATTATAACGGCAAACGCCCCTCTCGGGCAGCTGCTGCAGCTCATAGTCCTGCACGTGCCGCCTCTTTCGACACTGTGTTAAGAGGGGGCAAAAAATTGGACGAGGGGAGGAGCGGGCATCATCAGAAGGAAGAGCTATTCACGGTCAAGATTTGGTCCAAAAAAATTATACGATTCAAATCATTTTTTGCATCTCATTTTTAATAACATACGTGGAATTTATAAAAATTTGTTCTAAAATTACAAATTATGCAAATAAAATTATGTCGTGTAGAAATAGAATTACGCAGTGTGTAAAATACACAGAATCGCAAAAAACGATCGCACCTGCAACTGTCACTGCTCGTGGTCCGAAAAAAATGGAGAAGGAAAATGACCTGCTTGCTGTAGACCTGTCGCGGTACTGCTGCAATTACTTCTACCAACGTCTCTCTCGTGGCTGACGCTTTTCCCTAGTGGTAATTTCTTTTGACATTGGACGCTGGAAGGAACTTTTGCATCGCAGCTGCAGCCTGCCCTTGCAGTTTCCGCCAACCGGATGGAAACCCCACTTCTTTTTTGTAGTAGGTTTTTTTGCTTTTGCTTTTTCTGCGTTATATGGCATCCATTTTACCTCAATCGCGCAACGACATACATTGAACTAATTAAAAGCCTCTACCCGCTGAAAATTGCTTCAGAGTAAGGGTGTGCGTGCAAAATGAAAATGAGCATCTTGGGAGCACTCATCCAATTGCTTGGTCAACGGATCTTCTCATCTCGACCTTCATCGAGTTCAAATCAATTTTTTAGAACATGTTCGATTGTGACCGGTCATATCTTTGATAGTTCTTCGTGTCTTACCAAACTTTAAGATATATATCAAACATTAATAGATTTATATGGTTTAAATTACATAAGTGTTCGGAACTTATTGAAAAAATTTCAACCCTTCCCTTCTTTGTTACAACTAGTTTAACGGGCATTGGAGTCAATTTTTTCCCTTTAAAATTTTGAAGGAGTAAGAAATTCCTAAAAAACCTAAACCTTAACAATCGAACTCAACCGAATTGAGCGCGATCTCATCGAGTCAAATTTGAACTGCTATTCTTCTATTCAATCGATCTTGAGCACAATTTTTAGAGTCAAGCTCGAGTTTGTTCTCACATTGACTCGATTGCATCCCTAATTTCGGTTACTTGAATCAAAGCCTCACTTGTATTGTACCAAGTTAAGTTGACACATTGACTGAAACATGCAGCAGCCGGACCAAAGAGATTCAGTCCAGTTGTTATTTGGCCCAATTGCTGTTTACAATTCGAATCAGCCGGTATCACTTTCTTCAGTAAAAACAACTTTTGGCTGATTAAGCAACCTAGCAAGCTGAGAAGGGATTTGTGAGAATTTAAGGCCTTGCTAACCTACTCGTACAAGCATTTATTTCAGGAGGAGATAAATTTCAGTTGCTGCCTTTTTACTGTAGTATTTTGTCTTCCTGTAACAGGGAAAAGCTTTTTAGCAGATAGGAATGAATCCACTCCAAATTCTTGTACTCCGCCACGTAAAAAAGTAGCATCCCCTTTCCGGCAGGTACACTAACAGAAGATTTTCTCAGCCTTAAAGCAAACCACGAACCAATTACAGGAGGAAGGAGACCACAAAATTCAATGCCTGGCCACTCCAAATAAAAGAGCTTAATGCAGCCGGTGTAAGCAAATCCAATGGTTACATCAGTGAATCGAAAATCACCCAAGAGGGATACAGGGGATTCCAAACTCATCGGGTTGAAATCTCATGTAGACCCCAGACCAGACATGGTATAAGCAGTACACTGCATGTTATTTAGGGCAGCAAAAGAGGGCCCTATATGAGGAAACTCCCCCAACTCTCCTCCAACCGAGGACGGACAGACTGAAAGTGAAACTACAGCCGTATAGGGAAGTGGTTCCCAAGCTGGAAATCTGTACGGGTGCTATTCACCTGGGCCATTAATGGGAAGGCTTAGTATTATTTTACCAGCTGCCTCCCTGGCTCGTGACAACGGCGAGGACGAGGAGTCGCGAATTGCAGAGCAGAAAAGGACAACCCGTCAATGCCTTTTAGTAGTATTAATTAAGGATCAGTTAGTGCCAAATGAAACAGGAATTAAAGTTCATCGGACAGCAGTATTCTTGAAGCAAGCGCAAATGAAAAGAGGATGATAAAGAAAACGGCAAACCCAAGGCAATTTCCTCAACAACAGAACAGGAAGCTTCACTCGGCTTCCTGTGTTTGTCTTTATCGTTAAAATTCCATGGAAAACCTGAGACAACGACATCCTTGAAATCTTGTGAAAAAAGGCTTGTTCAGCTCTCATCGTGCAAGTAACCAAAGTTAAGGGTGTTCACATCATCTGAACAGGTTAAACCAGACGCTAACCTCCATCACTTGCTGCTGGCTCCCTACCAAGTACGGTAGCAAATTACGCTTCTAAGTTTCTTTCACAGACGATTAATAAATATGGCACACAAGTAGTAGATCTTAATCATATTCACAATTACATTTGATCCACTTCTTCGAGTCAAGTCAGGAAATGACACTCCCCATTTCCCACCAAAAATAATATACTAAAAAGGAAATGAAAATCAAAACACACTAGAATATGAGAATTCAATGTAACACATAATAATATTAACAAAAAGACTAGCAAAATCAAGCTGCAAATGTTAATAGGTGGAGTCGGTCCGAGTCTCCAAGACATCTTCTGCAAACTACAGCTATCAACTATCAAGCTATACTAAAGTGTATAATCTTCTACAATTAGAGTTGGGAAATTTGTGGCAAGCAAGAGACTGGGCTTCATGGCCGTCTTCAAACGATACAATTCATGGCAGATTGATCATCATCATCATC